AGTTGGAAAGGTCATTTTACCATATGAACATACCTTTATCTCACATAACTCCATATTCATCAATATGGTTTCAATTCATGATCAAGTCCATTACTTATCATTCATATCATGTTCAAGCATATTTATTCACAAAAACATGATTTAAGCATTTAGGTAATCTCATGCATAACCTACAAGTTGTAAGCAACTAGATGTCGGTCCTCACCTCAAATGAGCTTTAAAACCTTCCTTCTCGATCCAATGACCAAAGTCTCGGCCAAGGAAGATTGAGAACTAGTTCCTTGCTTGAAAATGGGTGCAAAACAGCCTCCTCAAGTTGCTATTTCAACCCCTAATCGTTGATACGAAAACAGCCCCTAGAACGGGTGTTTTCCGGCTAATTCGATTCCTAGTTTTCCAATATTTGCATCTAGGTTAGTATCTAACCTTTACATCAATAAAATAACTTCACAAGGACATATTATACACTTGGATTAGTGTACAATAGTTCCACCAATCGTTCATATCATTTGGAAAATGAAAGGAAAGGTTTTGGGATTAACAACTCACTTAGAAGAGTAAATCCGTACCTGCGAGGTCGCGTTCTGATCGGACGATTTGGAAGCCTTCCTCTACTCCGATTGATGCAAACCAGACCTTAACGGATTCCTCGTCTTGAGAGCTTTCTTTTGGTATCTCACACGCCTTAATTGGATTGGTATAACTCGAGATATCAACCAAACAGTCTTAGCACTCTCACAGCTCGAGTTCACAGACCACCACTCACTCCAGCTCGATTTTTGTAAGATAAGCTTTCTCTCCTCGAACAAAGACCATTCAATTGAGATACGAGACTTCAAAGGCTATCCAAGGACATATTATTCACGTTGTTTGGTCGAGTATAGCTTCTATAATGAGAGGAGACAAACAGCACACCAATTTGTGCGAAAATAAGGATGGTGGCCCAAGCTTTGATTCCTATCAAGTCATGTGCAGCTCCCCTCCATTATGGCCGGCCAAGGTAGGTCTTCTAACCCATTTTTATTTGTTTTGCAGGTACTAATATCATGTGGAGTGTTTCCCAATTGATCCCATTAAATTTGGGGTCCAAAATATCTACCAATACTTCCAAAAATTGGGAAGATGGGTCCTATTGTTTATCTTTGTCAAAAATGTCTTTTTGTACTCATCCTAATTTACTTAGAACAAGTCAACTTCCTAAATCACATTATTGATCTCCAATATGTGTAGGCTGATCCCAATAATTTACTTGATGAATATTATAGAAGGAAAATCCTACTCCCATTATTTAGCTCAATAAGGCCCAAGGTGGGGTTATAGGCATTTGTATTCTTCCTTAATCATTCAATCAGTTATTTGACATTTGTCATACGTATTATTGGGCTACTAGCCGTGTGGGTCACTCCCGAGTGGGTTTAAAACGCCATTCTCGAACACTTGCTATTTTTAGCAGGTTGGCCCAAAATAATGTTTGGGCCACCCGACCTTCCTCAAATTGTCTTGAAGGATTATGTATCACTATTTAGGTAATGTTGGGCTCTTTTATTTATTAATAAGTCCCGAATAAGTATTTGCGAAACCCGACACTAGTGTACGAGTTTGAACAGTACGATATTCAACCATGCACTACGTAGAACATTAATCGTTTTACAAATTGTTCGGGAATCAAAAATCCAATACATAAACTTTGAATATCTATATCAAATCTCCAAGGACATTCGGGTGCGGTGTCACATATAGCCTTTAACTCCCTCAGGATAGCCTAACATTACACATTTTAAGCCTCTAGGTTGTAATTTACCTTGAGAAACATGGGCATAGGCTGCACACCCAAAAGGCCTTAAATGAGAAATGTTTGGTTTAACCCCATACCACATTTCCTGTGGAGTTTTAAAACTGATCACAGAAGATGGAGATTTGTTAATGAGGTATGAAGCAGTAACCACTGCTTCACCCCACAGGGAATTACCAAGGCCTGAACTGATGAGCATACACCTTGCCTTTTCAAGCAAGGTCCTGTTCATCCTTTCAGCAGTGCCATTCTGCTGAGGAGTACCAGGGACAGTAAGTAACCTTTTAACCCCTTCATTTTTGCAAAAAACATTGAATTCATTGTTGCAGAACTCAAGGCCATTATCTGTTTTCAATGCTTTCAGTTTAAAATTGGATTGAGACTCAACCAATATTTTCCAGTTTTTAAAATTCTCAAAGGTTTCATCCTTAGTTTTTAATAAGAAAACCCACACCTTCCTGGAAAAGTGATCAACTAGAGATAGAAAGTATTTCCTACCTCCAGTTGTGCTCACTTTAGAGGGTCCCCATAAATCAGAATGAACCAATTCTAAGGGAGCAGAAGCAACATAAGATGATTGTTCAAAAGGATGTCTAGTTTTCTTACCAAAAACACAGTTTTCACAAAAAACAAGGTTTTCAGGTTTAAAGTCAAAGGTTTTACCTTCCTTACCATTAAGATCATTCTCCCTGTTTGTATGTAGCTTGGACGTTGATGCAACCAGTTCATTCGGAGGATTATGGTTCATAGGGCCCTTCCCTTTTCGCATTCTACCTTTCTGCTCTTTGCCAAATTCCTGAGTATTATTTTTTTCCTTTGCACCTGTAACTTCAAGAAGAGGATTAGCAGCACCAGGAGGCTTTTTAATTCCTCCATGGTCTTTAATAGTAATCGGTCCGGAATTGGGTTTCAGCACAGAGTTGCATTTATCATAGTAATGGCCAAATCTAAAACAGTTCTTACAGTACAAGGGGAGGAGCTCCTCGGTTTTAACAAGCTGCCAGAAAGGCTCATAGCCTTCATCCTCAAGCCATATCCTATCAGGGATAGGTTTGAGGAGGTCTATCTCAACCTGAACACGAGCCACAGTGGGTCGTTTTTTGTCAAGGGTAGGCCGGTCACACCGGAGAGGTTGACCGAAGGTGGAGCACAGTTCGAAGAGGAAGGATTCATTAAACAAATGAAAGGGGAGGTGGGGGAATCGAACCAGATGGGAACAAAGGATGACTCCTTCTCTGGATGGTAACCGGGGTTCCATTTAGAGACGGTCATTTGTTTGCCCCCTATCATCCAAGGATTGCGAGATCTACAGTGGATGTATTCCTCTTTGCTGTTGAAAGAGATAATGATCTCTTTTTCATAAAGAAGACCAACTGAAAATGAATGAAAATTCAGAGATTCGAAGAACCTGCAAATAAGGTCCATAGGGGGTCGGCCTTTCTGAAATTTTCCAACAAGTGCGTAGCGTAGTCCATGCGAGAGTAGATCTAAACGTTTCTTTGGAATTTTAACCGAGATATGTCCACGATGCTTACCAACGATCAGGGAGAGTGAAGGGTCTGGGGTAGTCGATGCGGTGGAGAGAAGTTGGGGGTGATGGTCTCCTATCACTATCTTCGCCCAGGATCGGGGGGGTGGAGGTTTTGGATCTCCGTCCGAGACAGACGCCATGGAGGCGGATGGAAACCCTAGGGTTTCCTCCAGAAGACTGGAAAGGTATAGATAGAAGGCAGAGAAAATCGTATAGAAAGAGACTTGTGGTGCCTCTTGCTCTCATCGAATTTTTATACTAATAATTAAAGTTATATTAAAATTTGGTGATAAAATATATCTGTATATGTAGGCAATTATACCATGAGATCGTTACACCGTGTGAACAGTGTATCGATCCCATTATTACGCAGTTACACTTTCTTTTTTTCCTCTCGGAGCATCATTTTTCTTTTTTTTTCTTTTGCTTCTCTTCATTTTTCTTTTTTCTTTATCTTCAACTTAAAGTATAACTAAATCTATTTTATTCATTCTTCATCAATACATAATAACAAAATTATTAATCTATATAAAATAAGTATATTGTATTTCATATCCGTGCACTATTTGTAATTACGTAATATTTTTTATGTCCATGAGCTTTTTATATCCGTGCACAACAAGTATATTGTAAGTCCTGTTCAAGGGCAGACGACAGACATAAGGTTTTTTATCATTTTGTTTACTTCTTTTTCTTTGATTGTATTATCAGCCATGTGACGAACGTTATTTTGATTTAATATATTAGTTGGATTTGATGATCAAAAGAGATATGTACAAATAAATTGACCACGATAAATAATGTTCTAACATTGTCCATTGTTGAAATCTAGTACTTCATTTGAAACTTTCAAATTCAAATTTTTATTTAGAATTTGTTTGATAAAAATTAAAGCAAAAGCAGAGAACCAGGAGGAGGAGGATTGCTTGTGCTGGGAAGAACGGATGGAAATTAAAAAAGAAAAGGAAAAATGAAATGAAAAAAGAAAGGAAAAAATATTAATTAATTAATACATAATGTGGATTGCCATGTAAGTGAATGACCGGTTTAATTGGGAACCAACGGTTGAAATCAGAAATTTGACCGTCTTTATATAGTTAACGGATTTAATTGGGTGTTTTTTGGTTTGAACTTAATTAGCTTTTTCGATATACTTTAAGGGCGGATTTGACATTTTTTTTTTCCTTTTTATGTTCAAAAAGGAAGATCATGTATGTTATTATATGTCAGTGCCTAATCTGTCCAGGCCCACTATTAATAAAGCCACTATTGACTCTGCTTTTACAGTCACTTATGAAGACCCTTTAACACCTACAGAGTAGTTTTGAAGATTTCTCTGTCCTTGTTGAACAATTTGTCCAGGCCCATATAAAATCTGGTTTCACAACCTGTAACGAGGAAGCTGTCCCTGATCAACCTGCCTCGATGATGCTACAATTAGGTTTGATGGACCCCCGACTATTACCTCACATCATGTAGTAACCACTGGTGCAGTTCGTCCCACTGAAGCAAACATTGTTGAAACACACAACGGTGCTGTTTGTTTTTCGGCGGTTCCGCACCAACCCGCTGCTAAAAGCAACGTTTTCAAGTTTAAGAAAAGCAGTGATTTGATACATCCGCCGTTATCCAAACGGGCTCAATGCCTCTAGAGAACAGACACCGAATACCGGAAATGATGAATTCAATTATGATCCGCCCAAAGATTATACTACAGTCACCCCGAATTTGTCCAATAATGAAATACTCTCTGAGGTCCTCTCTGATTTACATAATTTGTCAACTGATACAGATACTATGACAACCGAGGAGGAATGCCCCGTGGGATTCACACAGGTAAGAAACAGGAAACAAATCTCAAAGAGCAATTTCAATAAACTATCCACAGCTCATGAGGATACACAACTATACTATGAAGTGGGATACACTTCACATCCCATGGTCACAAGAAGTCACTCCAAGAAACCCCGAGATGAAACTGATTACTTTTTATACCCAATCGACACGAGGTTTGACTCACCACATAAACTTGGTGCGGCTCTTAATTGATACGTAGTATAAAGCAACCCACCCGGAAGCCAAAACTTACCAACCGTATCTGCGGAATGCGATTAGGTTCCACAATAAATTCAACAACATTATATCAACTGCAAATTGAAATCCGGCAAGAAATTTAATTGCTAATGTATCTCTACTTTTTGTTTTTTCTTTCAAGGCATGTGTTGAGTTTAATCTAACACGATATAGTAAATATATGTAGGAAAAACTGCCAAATAGGTCCTCTTACTGTACCAAAAAAGTCAATTAAGTCCTCGTACTTTAAATTCGATCAATTGAACCCTCCAACTAAGAAAAAACAGTCAATTGAATCTTTCAACCGGTAAAGACCAAGTCTTTCGGTTAACCCACCTACGTGGACTGTCGACATGGATATGGTTTTCATTTTTTTTTCTTCTTTTTGTAATTCTTTTTCTTTTTGACCCGTTATCCCTCAGGTTTCTTCTTCCACCCCAGCCCTCTTTTTCGGTGGTTCAATTAACTGTCCACTTCGGATGGACTCATTTTCCGGTGGGCATCTCAGAGTCGTACGAAGTTCAAGTGGGCGCGGCTTAAGTTCTGGTTCAGTCATCCATCTTTCTGAAGATAAACTCCGGCGATGTTGGTGCTTCTGCCTACTCTTCCGGTCAACCTTTTTTCCGGTAATAGCTCTGGTGCCTCTGTTCTGGTCGTCTGCATACAAGCAAGTACGGTGTCCGGTCTGAAGCTGCCCACAACGACCGGCCGGTGGTGATGGGGTTAATGGAGCTTTCGATGCACAGCTTCATGATGATGGTCTGTGAGTACTTCTTCCAGGGGTGGGCGGAGTGGCACCGTTGATGGCCTCATCGATGAGGATATCGCAGATCTAGAGGATGATGCCGCCACGCCATGGTGTTCCTTGCGAAGTTCTGGGCGCTCACCATGGAGGCCTGGTTCTCCAAGACTTGTGTACGAGCATTTCAGATAGGCGGAAGAAGAAATGAGATAGGGAGACAATTGAAGGACGAAGTGTAGAACCAGGGGACTGGAGTGGAAGAACGAGAATGAAAGAGAAAGAAAAATAGAAGATAAAACCAAGTGGATGTTACACATAGGCATTTAACCGGAGGATTTGTTCTTTACCGGTTGAATGGCTCAATTGACTATTTTTCAGTAGTTGGAGGATTTAATTGATCGAATTTAAAGTAGAAGGACCTAATTGAATTTGTGGGTATAGTAGGAGGACTTATTTGATAGTTTTCCCATATATGTATAAATGTGTATGAACAAGCTATTTTTACATGGAAACCCGAAATGGAGAAAACCACGGGACTTTTTAGGGTAATGTCCAAGCCCTCTCTTTCTTATTAGGACTCTCCTCACCATTACAAGGTACAAATGTTGAAGCTCCATTAATGGAGGATAAAGCTAGCTAGAGAGAAATAAGGAAGAAGAAGCTAAAAAGAGATCCTTAATATGGAGGGAACACCTCCTATTTATAGATAAGGGGGGGGGGGGGCTCTCCACCCTAACGGGCCGAATGGGCCGAAATGGGCCGAAACAGGCCTGATAGGCTAAAATGGGCCTCACTGATTGGGCTCCGTACTACGTAAGTCTTTGGGCTCCTGAACAGTAATAGGCCGGGATAATATATCCCAACACAAGTCCCCCAGTTTCTTGAGTAGTGAGCCTGCGAATCTGCTCGAGAAAATATACTCTTGCCTGCGCTCTTCCTCTGTCTTGCTGGAAATTGTGTCTTCGAATAATCATAATATATGAGTGGGTGTCTGCCCCTGTAACGCCCCTCTCAGGGTTAAAGGATACGTTACACTAACTTATTACTTTTAAAAATAATTGCAATATAACGGCCGTCTATTTAAGAAAATAACCCTGATAAAATCTCAAAAGTAACTAAAACAACTCCAAATAAAAACTTAATAAAATATAGTTATCACCAGCAAATGTGACAACCACCTGGATCCAGGAATTTATTCAAACTTCAAATCCTTAAAATAAAATAAAGTAATAATAATCACTTTATTATAACAACTATACTTAAACAATAATAACTAGCTAGATACTGCCAAGGTCGTTCCCGTTAACTCATTTCGGCACGCGTTCTGTTCCCTCATCATCTTCCTAGGCCTTGGCCTTACCCTTAGCTTTAGTATCTGTACATGCGAAGAAAGAAAACTGATAAGCTTTATCCTTAGTAAGTCACTATGGATCCACAAAAATATCTAGAAGTCTATGTCAATTTATCAATAGATAAATTTAGGCTATAAGCATGCACTGAACAAATAACTAACACATAACTTCTCAAATACATTTTGAGGGAGATCTCAAAAGGAAATATTTTCTAAAATAATTTCTCAAAACTGCTGGAGAGATCTCAAAATTTCTTTCTAAAAAACATCTCTGTAAACTTTCTGAAAGAGATCTCAAAAACAACTTTCTGTAAAAACTTTCTGAAAGAGATCCCATAAACTTTATGTAAACTGTTTGTGGCTAATTTTAACTGTGGGCCCGTGATATGTACTCAAAGGCGCCAATCCGACAGCTCAGGGGAGCGACCCACTAAACATATCGGACTATCTGAAACTGTAAACTGCTAATCTGAGGGAACTTGTTCCCGAGTACATATCACCTGATCTTTCACTTTAAATATTAGTTCTTTTTATGGTGACGTTTGATTAAAAACATCATTAAATCTGAAAACTAAAGTACTGACAAAATCTTGACTATGCCAGATGATAAACACAACTTAATACAGCAAATAAAATAACTCAGCAAATAATTCACCAGGTTCACATAATAGCACATAGAGTAAAATCATCTATTAAAAATCAACCAGACTTCTTTCTTTCATTTGGTTGAACAAACATGTACAGGTGGTAGTGAACTTACCTGTTAACAGCTGAACACAAAATATTCAAATAAGTGTGGCACCTTGATAACTTCTTCCGGTAAGCTCCACCTTAAATCTTTAATCACACGTAATAACCTAATTAGAACTTTCTATCCTTTCATAAAATTCCAAAAGTGGCTAATACTGTTCTTTTGGAATTTTCTTTAAACAAAAATGAATTTTCTCAAGGATTTGTAACATAAAGTTTCGAAAGAATACTAGTTCTGATTATTTATTAGTGAAGTCTACTTCGACTTAAACTAGCTCTAAATGTATATTTTTTTAGAGTAAAAGTAAATTAATTTTCTAAATTTGGAAAATAATGAACAGAATGAAATAGACTTGCTCCATTAGTCAATTAGTCGGCTATCAGTAAATACGTTCGTATGAATATGAACTTTCTTAAGAAGGGTAAGATCTTTTTTTTTCACCATATGAATAAGAGCTCAGGGAACTTAAACTCCTAACTTAAATTCAAAATCAGACCTTATAAAAATTATGACCCTTACACACGGTAGAAAAATTGCAGCCTAATACTTCTCTCCTGTAAAACCGATGGTTTGGATAAAAATTTTAAACCATTGTGTTCAATTTGACAACTCCTCAACTAGAAGTTTAATGTAAGGAACACATGGGTTAATTTTCAAATCCCTCCCTAATCCCAGGCAACTAGTACGTAGTGAAGCTCTCACAAATCAAAATCTTTTAGGAAGAATCAAATTTAGAGGCGTGAACAATATAGACTTACCAGTTTTAAGATGAAAACAGATGGTAGTGCTGGATGCTTCGTCGGAGAGTTCAAAGAAGAGAAGAGTTTCTGGAGGCCAGGGGAACAAAAACGGACTGCTGTCTAGAGCTTAAGGGTTTCTATGATGATATATATCTCCTTAGGGATTTTTAGGTAAAATATAAATTCGGGCTGAGATTAGTGATTTGGGTCTTTATAAATCTCTCAAAAAAATATTGTAATCCAATTAAAAATTATTCGACCTTTAAATAATATATGTCAAAACTTTTTATTTTTGTTTTTAGAGCTTACCGACAAACGCTATCTGCCACAAACAACACATGATAACATAATAAATCACATTATTCATAAAATAAACTTATTTAACTGACTAACTAAAATTAAATATTAATGTAACTAGATCGCTAAAATCGGGGTGTTACAGCCCCTCTGAATATAACCTGCCGGTAAGGCGCTCCCCTCTCGACGGGGTCGGGCAAGGGATGCTCTTCCTCGGACACTCTCCCCCTAAATGTATCAGGTGGGAGTAGAGGACTCTGACTCGAGCTTTCCAATGGAGAAGCTTAGAGGTCCCTGCACAATATAAGGTGACGACGCGGAACTGGCTCGATATGATGTATATGTATGTATGGATGTATGAGATATGATGCATGAATGTATGAATGCATGTAATGTATGGGTGCAATGTATGAGAGAAGGCATGTAAGATGTGATACAAAGCGGTGAATATCATCGGTAAACCGGGCACGACGGCGCTGAGGGGCCGAGCGTGCTGCATAAGACGTTCGTTGCCATGGTATGGTCTTACGTCGAACGTGAACTATACATGACGGCGCTGAGGGGCCGATCGTGCTGCGTAAGACGTCCGTCGCCATCCTGGAAGGGATGTACGAGCCGCACATGATCTGGACACGATCGGCACTGCAAGGCCGATCATGCTGTGTAAGACATCCGTCGCCATCATGGAAGGGATGTACGAGCCGCACTTGATCTGGACACGATCGGCACTGGAGGGCCGATCGTGCTGTGTAAGACGTCCGTCGCCATCCTGGAAGGGATGTACGAGCCGCACATGATCTGGACACGATCGGTCCTGCAGTGATCGGCACTGCAGGGCCGATCGTGCTGCGTAAGACGTCCGTCGCCATCCTGGAAGGGATGTACGAGCCGCACGTGATCTGGACACGATGGCGCTAAGGGGCCGGTCGTGCTGCATAAATCGTTCGTCGCCATCCTGGAAGGGATGGGCGAGCTGGATAAAAGATTGACACGATGGCGCTGAGGGGCCGATCGTACTGCATAAGACATCCATCGCCATCCTGGAGGGAATGGGCGAGCCGAACATGAACAGGACATGATGGCGCTGAGGGGCCGATCGTGCTGCATAGGACGTTCGTCGCCATCCTGGAAGGTATGGGCGAGCCGAACATGAACAGGACACGATGGCGTTGAGGGGCCGATTGCGATGCATAGGACATTCGTCGCCATCCTGGAAGGGACGGACGAGCCGAACATGAGCTGGACACGATGGCGCTGAGGGACCGATCGTGATGCATATGACGTTTGTCGCCATCCTGGAAGGTATGGGCGAGCCGAACATGAACAGGACACGATGGCGCTGAGGGGCCGATCGTGCTGCGTAAGACGTCTGTCGCCATCCTGGAAGGGATGGGCTAGCCTGTAACACCCTGGCCCTACAGGACCCTGTGTAGTTACTCCAGACCTCTAGTACTGTCCTCACAAACCACCACGAGCCTTTACCACGCACTTTGTCCTCACTCATGCGTGCCCTGAGAAACTTCCCAGGGGGTCACCCATCCCAAAACTACTCCCGTGCAAGCACGCTTAACTTTGGAGTTCTTGGGTGATGAGCTTCCTTAAAAGGAGATGCACCACAGGTGGTATCAGAGCAACCCTGCGACAGTGTGCTGATCCGTTGGATATCGGGCAGACACTTAGCAGGGGAAAGATTTTGGGGTTTGATTGAGATTGATTTAAGGGCGCAACGAGGACGTTGCGATCCTAAGTGGGGGTGATTGTAACACTTGAGATTTAATATAAATGGATTAATAGTACTACTCATACCAACAAGATGCATCTCCTTTTAAAGGAGCTCATCACCAAGAACTCCAAAGTTAAGCGTGCTTGCACGGGAGTAGTCTTGGGATGGGTGACCGCCTGGGAAGTTTTTCAAGGCACGCACGAGTGAGGACAAAGTTTGTGGAAAAGGCTCGTGGTGGTTTGTGGGGGGCAGTACTAGTGGTCTGGAGTAACTACCTCGGGTCTTGCGGGGCCGGGGTGTTACATAGCCGAACATGAACTGGACACGACGGCGCTGAGGGGCCAATCGTGATGCATAAGACGTCCGTAGCCATCCTGGAAGGGATGGACGAGTCGAACATGAACTTGACACGACGGCACTGAGGGGCCGATCGTGCTGCATAACACGTCCGTCGCCATCCTGGAAGGGATGGGCGAGCCGAACATGAACTGGACATGATGGCGTTGAAGGGCCAATTGTGATGCATAAGACGTTCGTCGCCATCCTGGAAGGAATGGGTGAGCCGAACATGAACTCGACACGATGGTGCTGAGGGGCCGATCGTGCTGCATAGGACGTTCGTCGCCATCCTGGAAGGTATGGGCGAGCCGAACATGAACTCGACATGATGGCACTGAGGGGCCGATCGTGCTGCATATAGGTCATCACACACGGTGGCGGCGGCGGCACACGGCGGCGGCGGCACACAGTGACGGCGGCACGCGGCGGCGACATGATGAGCACCGAGGGAAGATCTGAATGAAAAATCAAGCAATACTTCTCATCCGCGGGGAGCGGGGACGAGGCCGGTCTTCAAAAATGATAATGGCACAGTATCAGGGGGTCGGTGGCCATGTAAAAGTGTCGGCACTGGGGGTCGACCAGAGTCAAGCAACGGCTCTGGTCCGCGGGGAGCGGGGACGAGGCCGGTCTTCAAATATGATAGGCACGCCGTGCCGAGAGGCCGGTCGTGATATAATGATGTCGGCATGAGGGGCCGATCAAGCGTATCCATGCAACAGCTCTCATCCGCGTAGTGCGGGGATGATACTGGTCTTCAGAATGTAAACACGTCGTACCGTGAGGTCGGTTGTGGTGTAAGGATGATCTCACGGCCCGCGGCCGCGATGGTCTCCTCTAAGCCGTGACGGTTTCCTCTCGGCCCCTGGGGTGGAGACGTTCGTCTTACGGTGCTCTTCCTTAGCCAGTTTGGAACGTCTTTGGGACTCATGCCGAGCGTCATTTAATCTTCTGCTCGGGCTCATTTAGCGACCTTGGCTGCATAACTAACATGGTAACGGGCCGCTCGGCCTGACAATATATATACACGCATAGCCATCTGCGTGACTCTCTTTTCCCAACGCTCGCGATTGCCGGCCTATGGGTTATTGTGACCCTCGGCTCGGCTCATCGTGCGGGGTTATTGGATACGGCCGTCCGCGGCGGGGCCATCTAGTGGCTCGCCGGACGTCGCATAGAAAAAACATTGGCCTGCGAGATTGAAAACTCAGACCCACGTTTGCCGCTCCGCCCTCGAAAAAACGAGGTTGAGCATCTTTGGTGCCCCTGGGCCCCACAGGCCGCGTTTGGCAACAGTCACTTCGCGCCTAGTGGCGCAGATGGTACTAGGGTACGATCGTCGATCGGGCACTTGGTGCCGTGCGCACTAATGCGTAATCCCCAAATTAAAATGCGTCGTCGGGGCACCGCCCTCCGGAGACGCTCGGATCGCTTAATCAAGCCGTTCGAGAGTGGGCCAACGGCCCCACAAACAATTAAATATTTAATAAAAAGGTTGGCCGAACTAACTATCACTAGAGCTTCGCTCCGCATCATTTAATTTGGGACATTTTTATCCCTAATAAATAAGAGTGATGTAACGGGTAGTAATAATGATATTATCCTACCACAAGCCATTCAGATACGGTCTAATCGCTAATTAAAGCCGAACGGGGGTGGGCCGACGGGCCCACAACAACCAGTCATTAATTTTAAATGACGGTGAAACTAATCATCACCCGTGCATCGCTCGCACTATTTAATTTTGGGAAAATTTACTCCCTTTTAAATAATGGTGATGAAAATAATACTATCAATACTGATATTGAGAATTATTATTTCAAATAATACTTTAATCAGTAAATGAGGGAGTTCGTTTGATACTTAGCTTTTTGTAGTCAAAATCTTCGGCCAGCGGGGATTGTAGAACCAGATGAGGACTCCCCTGCCAATTTTGACTTTGGTCAAAACTACTCCAAGCTTTACACGTCTGCTACCATTCATCTACGGACGTGGCCCTCCAAGAACCAAGGTATTTGGTCGGTATGCAGTACTGTGTATCTTTTGGTCAGGGAGCTGAAACACCGGTTCGCTGCCCCAAGGCCAAACTGCTTAAGCCAGCCACTCACCGACGGCGGGACGGGCAGTTGCCGAGGCGCAAAGGATGCGACGGACGCCGGGCCTGGTGGGGTCTGGCAGGGCTTCATATGTGTACCTCCCTTAAGCTCCACGCCGCCATTAATGGCGGAAATTCCTTCATGTCGCGTCAGCAACGAGGTGGAGGCTCGAACGGCTATTGGCCGCGTGGACGGGTGACAAGCGGTTGTCCGCCGATGACAGGCGGCGGTTCGGCGGCTCAGAGGGTGGCTGGCGGAGCCAACAACGAGCCACGGGCGACTCTGCTGTCAGCGGCGTTTTTCTAGAAACGCAGCGGCGAGACCCAGGACGCGGCCGCGAGCTTCACCTGGTGCAGCTGGACTCACCGGAAGGTCCATGGCGGTGGGAACGACGGCAGTTGTGGCGGCTCCGGCGGCCCCAATCCAGATCTGTAAAAAGAGAAACCAGATTTGAACTTCCAGAATCCGTAGCTTCTTCGTTTCCCAGAATCATTTTTCCTAAAAAAATTTCTTCTTTTTTGGTGAAATCAGTCCATTTCGTATCAATCTTTGCAGAAAAATTGAAGAACACATGTAATCTTTTTGAACTGATTCCCAAAGACGGCGTCAGTGTTGAGTTTAATCCAACACGATATAGTAAATATATGTATAAATGTGTATGAACAAGCTATTTTTACGTGAAAACCCGAAAGGGAGAAAACTACGGGACTTTTTAGGCTAATGTCCAAGTCCTCTCTTTCTCATTAGGACTCCCCTCACCATTACAAGGAACAAATGTTGAAACTCCATTAATAGAGGATAAAGCTAGCTAGAGAGAAATAAGGAAGAAGAAGCTAAAAAAGGATCCTTAATATGGAGGGAACACCTCTCCTATTTATATATAAAGGGGGAAGGGGGGCTCTCTACCCTGACGGGCCAAATGGGCCGAAATGGGCCCAAAGGCCGAAACAGGCCTGATAGGCTAAAATGAGCATTACTGATTGGGCTCCGTACTATGTAAGTCTTTGGCTCCTGAACAGTAATAAGACGGGATAATATATCCCAATAGCATGTAACTTTAAATTCCTTATTATATCTTTAAATTCCTTGTATCTTTAAACTATTATTAATAAACTTGGGAACTCTTCCCCGACACTTTCCCCACATAGTGTTGTTTGCTCCGGGACCAAAAAAAATGTCGGTACCTAATCTCTTATCAATATAGGGAAAGTTTCTGAAATATGATTAAAAATGTTAGCGAATTCTAAAATATGATTGCTATGTTTTTTTTCTCAAAATATGAGTAACATTGTTGTGTCTATTGTCATCTTGGAGTCATTTTACTACCAAAATAGTTGGAGAACTAGATAATTAACATGACAATATTTACTATCATTGATGGTAGTATTTTTTAATCATGACAGTAACGATACATATTTCAACTCGAAAAAAATATAGTATTCTTATTATAGCATTCCAGAATATTCTTACTCCTATTTTTGGCAATTCCTATCAATTTATTCATATTGTTTGGATATTTTAGTAAATCGCTACTACTATGCTACGTAGTATTTATTAATCATTTTAAAAATTTAAACCATAACCACCAACTTTATATATTTATATTTGGAATATAATTTCTTTTTGTGCATCACATCGGATGAGTGCATTTTTAGTAATTTCAATATGATTAAATGGGTCCCACTTTATTATTTAACATAATATTTCTATCTTGGTCATAAAACATAATTACATGGGAAAATAATTTAAATATTTCAAACTTTAATGAAGTGTGAGATAAGCACCCCAAACTTGCATATGTAATATATATACGACAAACATTACATAAAAAGTTATTTCATACCATGATTATTGTATGTTTTTTAACAAATACGTATTTATTGGAATAATTACATAATTTAAAATACTCTAAATTTTGCAAAAATGCAGTTAATATTATAATGTTTCATTTGTGAAATAAATAATATTACATCCGGTACAATTTAATTTTATATTACATCCTCGGAAATGTTTTGTGCATTTCAAATTATGTCTTTAACGCCATGAAATTAGATTTAGAAAAAATATATGATCATGGTGCTTACAGAATTTTTTTGGGAAATTTACCAGGATATGACTAAAACTCAATGAGTTTTTCCAATTTATGACCTAACTAGTTTTTTTTACTTTTGTATGACCGAAAATCCAAAAAATAAAAAATTCTCGTTTATATCTAAAAGATGAATGACAAAAATGCTCTTATTTAAAATATATGGATTTTGCACTGATTTCGTTCAATTAAAATTACTGCATTTTATATTATCATTAATGCACAACATTACTGCACGACATTACTGCACATCCGGTAATAATCGCTGCACTTGCGCCAAAATTAATTCTCTTGTCGTTCACGTTACGAATTTGTTTATAGTTTTTATTTTTTATTTTTTAAATCTAATGATTTTATTATTTTACTTCTAATTCAATATATAGTATTTCGTGGTGACCTTACCGCTGTGCGTTACTGCACTATTGCTCATAATCACTGCACAACAAACTTCCTTAATGCATTGATTCAAAGACATGTACAACATATCTATTGCATATATATTCACTGCCCACACTCGACATGTACTCCCATGTTCCAATGCATTCATTGAATGTCCATATTGAATGTCCGTGTTCACTGCCTAAAACCTTAAAAATATAGTCCGGTGACGGGGTGCCGCCGGTAAAATCCAAACAGAAGGATTTCAAATATTGTGGATCCAAGATTGAAAGAAGCAAGATGATTTCCTCAGTTGAGGTTAATCCAATTATCAAAGAAAGTATTATCTAGACACATTTCAAAATATCGAAGAACATAAACTAGAAACCTACAACCAACCCCAAAAAATTGAATTTGAGGAATCAAATAAACAACCATAAGTGATGAAGGGTCTGCTATATTCTAAGTGAATGAAGAATTCGTCAATTTCTTCTATTAAAAGGAGATAACTCATGTTTCCAACCTTGTTATTGAACCAAGGGGTTCACGTCTTCTAGCTTCCTCACTTACAAAGTTGTCCGCACTTATAAAGAGGAAGTCATCTGTTGATTGGCACATCCATACCTCTGTGCAGGTGCGAGGTCGTCGACACCTACAGTCCGATGGTAGTGCGTGAAGTCTGGTCCCCTGAAAGCGACGTAGCTACTGTGAGGGTTGCTTCCAGATCGGCGAAGAAGCTGGCCAGTGATCGGCTACCACTAGGGTATTAGGGTTTTATAATAAGAATTGAAGGGCATATTAGTCTATAAAAAATGTTTGTTTATTTAATTATTGATATATTAATTAATTAGTACGAATTTTGGTATTATTTTAGTAAAAAAAGTAATAAGGTCATAGATTGGGAAACTGACGGAGTTTTAGTCATATCTAAGATAATTATCTCAATTTTTTATATAAAGGTTGAGTATACATATTACATGTGCAAGATTGAAATACTTATCTTACACCACTTTAAAATTTGAGATACTTGAATTGTTTTCCTCTAACCTATTTGATCTATATTTTAATCATCAATATTTTAATCTTGTTTAGGGTAATTTCTTTGTAATCGATCTTTGAATCTACCATGTATCATTAATCATTATCTTTTAATTCACTTTAATCATTAATCATACGCACGGGAAAGAGCGGTGGGTACATATATATATATATATATATATATATATATATATATATTCCAGTAATAAAGTAAAATATTTTTTTGGAATAGTACCTAAAAGAACTACTTATTAGATAGAAAATTGTCCCGTTAACTTATTAGTCTGCTTGTCTTATACCTAAAAGCAATACATGCGAGAGAAAATTCTCCCGCTCAATTATTAGTACATTTATCTACTTATATCTAAAAGTGTTACGTATGAGAGAGAGAAATCTTCCTCTTGATGATTAGTCCGGTCATCTTCTTATACCTAAAAGTACAACATATGAGAGAGTGAGAGAGAGAACTTTATCGCTCAATTACTAATCCACTTAACTTATACCCAAATATACTACATATGGGGGGAATTCTCCCGCTCATTTATTAGCCCGTTTAGATTATATCTAAAAACACTACATATGAGATAAAATACACTCTTACGTTTATTAGTACGCTTATCTTATACCTCAACATACTACATATGAGAGAGAAAATTATTTCGCTCAATTATTATTTCATTTATCTTATCGTATACGTAAAAGCACTACACGTGAGAGAGAAAATTCTCCCGATCAATTATTAGTTCGCTTATCTTATATCTAAAAGACTACAGATGAGAGAGGAAATTCTTCCGCTCAGTTATTAATCCGCTTATATATTATACCTAAAAGCACTACGTATGAGAAAGAAAATTCACCCACTCAATTCTTAGTTCGCTTATCTTATCGTATCTTATACGAAGTTACTAAAAGCATTAAATATGAGAAAGAAAATTATTACACTCAATTATTAGTCTGCTTATCTTATGGGAGCATACACTGCGGGCACACTCGGTTGTACAGTGCTCATTGTTCAACGTAAGTATGTAACCAAATATTTTATGTTATGCTTAATGAGTATAAAGTTGAAATGAAATGAGTATTGGTATTAAATCGTTATATTGGTAGCACAATTGAGTATTAAAAGCATGCAATTGAGTAACATGATGTAAACGTAATATATATGCTACAAATCAACTTGTTTATTTAACGGTATTATCATTGTATTTATTGTGCTAATTTTATAATTTAATTTAATACCAATACTCATTTCGTTTAAACTCTATACTCATCATTTATGTTAACATACAATACTTCATACTTGGTTGTATCATGTTTAGGGTACAACAGATTGTACGACATAGTTTGCCCTTATGTTATATCTTAAAGCACTACACATGACTTATATGATAGAAAGAATTCTCCTGCACAGTTATTACTAAGCTTATCTCATCTCATACCTAAAAACACTACATATGAGAGAAAAAAATTCTTTCCGTTCTTTAATAGTTGCAACAGTTTGACATTAACGTTTGCCAACGCACAACTTTGACTGTAATTATATTTAATTACGAATTAGTAAACATTATAAAAGTTAATATTTTGGAAATTCACATTAATATCAATTTAATAACATTTTGTACATAATAATTTGATTAAATATATACTCCGTATATATTAGTATAAAATTGTGGTCAAAACAAAGTGTGTGAATAGTGAAAAAAACTCAATGTTGCAACTATTAAAGAACAGATGAAGTACCTAAGAGCACTATGTATATAAGAGAGAGAAAATTCACCCGCTCAATCACCAATTCGCTTATCTTATACCTAAAGCAATATATATTAGAGAAAAATTATATTGTTCAGTTATTAGTACGCTCATCTTATTCTATTGAAAAGAAAATTTTGTTACCAGCTATGAGTACACTTTTATAGTCACCTTGATATAATTTCAAATATAATTATAGTCTCTAAGAATTAATAAGTCATTTTATCCATTATCCTTATTTTGGTCATATATTAGAAATTATTTATCAATTTAATATGAAATAATTTATATCCATGTTGGAAAATAGGAATGTTGTTGAATAAACCTTCAGATGTTTTTTAAATGTTATATATGCAATATTGGTGTCATATGAAAGATCTCAAAAATTATGATTGTAGATATATGTTTTATAAAAATTACAGAAAATATGAAAATATTATAACATTTTGAAGAAGGATTCAGATCAGATTAGACCAGATCAGAAAGATTCAGATCAGATTAGAAAGATTCAGACCAGATCAGATCAGAAAAATTCAGATCAGATTAGAACTTTAAAATTCACTGCCTCCACCGGTGATAGAGATGATGATACAAAAATTAATTGTAAACTATCTTAACTTTATACTCCTTACAACTAGTGTCTCGTATGGCTCTCACCGAGCAACTTTAATAGACATAGTGATTATATTGAATTATGAAAAAATTGTATTTTAAATAAAGAAATAATTCATAAGTATGACCAAAATAAGGATAGTGGCACTACACTATAAATGGCTTCATATCATCTTCATCAAAAGGTAAATCCTAAAGATAATTCCAGTTGATTAAATATAAGAAAAATATAACCAGAGGCAAAGTATATCTTCGTCTTTCGTTGTC